CTGTGTTTTCTTTGGGTGCGTACCAGGAAGAGAGCATATCAGTGCAAAGTGTTTATAGGGTTGTTTGCAGGATTCGGTTTACAGTTGAGACCTCCAGCTTTGTGAGTGAGAAGTTTTAGGCTCAGTCTATGTGGGCAAGCACAGCCCAGCACAGTGCTCATGAAAGCGGAAGAGGGGAACAGCACTCTTGGAGAACTGTGCCCTTGGGTGTTACCACTCCTTCAGGGGTGACACCTCAGGTACAGCATTTTGTGCATTTTCTCTGATTATCCAAAGTTAGGGGAAGCAGAGAGCTCCTTCCCATGCCTGGAGGATATTGTTTGTGTGTGACACTTACAATCCTCACGACAACCCTGAGCATCAAGGCAAGTGCCACCTTTTATGAAGAAAGAGGCCAGGCCCAGAGGGGTGAGAGAGGACTTGATGAGGTCACGTGGCAGAGCCAGGACATGAACTCTGGTCGGCTGGATTTCTGCACATACTTAGTTTGGGAAGTCTGTGACTGCCCCCAGACAGACCGTCCTGCACCCTCTCAGTCTGTTGCCGGCTGGCCGAAGAAGGCCTGTGCTATTAGGACATATTGCAGACCCACAGTGAGTCTCAGGGTTTCTTCAGAATCACCCAGGATAATGGCCTGGCCCAGGCCAAGTGTGGAGCCTTAAATTCTGGGCGCGTGTGTGTTGTGCCTGGAAGCCAGCCCGGTGAGGGGAAGGGCAACCACCTGGTGCTTCCTTCCTTTTGAGCTTGGCTCTCCAGACCCAGCCCTGAGCCTGTGCTGCTGGAAGTGGAAGCTTCTCAGCACAGTTGTCATGGCCCTGTTTGTCATTATGAGTCAATGAGATCCCAACCACAGTCCCGTGCGTGTGCAGATGTGTGTGTACAGACTGTAGCGTGGTGAACAGATGCTGTCTCCATTGTCTGAGGCTGTTTCCTAGAGAAATTCAATGGGTCTGCTGCAGCCCCATCGTACAGCTTTTTCCCTTATGGAAAGGGATTTAAGTGTTCAGAGTTGACCGCGCCATGCCAGCCCTCCAGCATTCGATGCACGCTCACTCTCACTCACCCTGGGGGTATTTATGACACCATAAAGAAGCAGTCCTTGGGGTTTCGTGGGTGTTGACTTTTTGGACAGCTGGGCTCCTCTTAGCTGTTGCCAGAAGCTTTCTGGACATTTCCTCTGATTCTTTGAGAGTGATGTGCCAATGGCAACCAGAACGCCGTGCGTGTGGCTAACAGAAGTGCAAACGGATGGCGCACACCAAGTTCTGCCCGCAGGTGGGGCCATCAAGTTCCCAGGGGGTGTTTATGGGTGGAATGTTCTAGAATACCAGGTTGAAGACCCGGGTCCTTGTCCCAGCCTAGCCTTAAGTGATTCCCAAGCTGTGTCTTCAGGGAGAGGTGAGGAGCCACAGGAAGTGGCATCTCCCTCCCTCTCTTCCCCTGGTCAATTCTGATTTGTTTTTTTAAAGTTCAGCTTTCATGTATGCTTTCTTCTGGATTAAAATATTCTCCCGCTGCTAGAAGCCACAGACCTGCATGTTCTCTTAGTTCTCTGTTGGCTCCAGATCTTTCTCTTGGCTCTGTCCTTGGAAAGCTCCTGTTCTCCATGTGTCCAGACTGTCCTAGGATGCGGGGTAGATGGACGACACTCATGTGGTACGTCTGGCAGCAGCCCTGGCCTCGCAGGGCCTACCGTGGGGCCTACCTCAGGGACTACCACGGGGCCTACTGCATGGGCCGCTGCAGGGCCTACTGTGGGGGCTACGGTGGGGCCTACCTCAGGGACTACCACGGGGCCTACTGCAGGGGCTATGGTGGGGCCTACTGTGGGGGCTACGGTGGGGCCTACCTCAGGGACTACCACGGGGCCTACTGCAGGGGCTATGGTGGGGCCTACTGCAGGGGCTATGGTGGGGCCTACTGCAGAGCCTGCCTCAGGGGCTACCATGGGGCTACCACAGGGGCAACCACAAGGCCTACCTCAGGGGCTCCCACGAGGCCTACCTTAGGGGCTACCACAGGCCACTATCCCAGAGCCTACTGCAGGGGCCAGTGGTTGGGGTCGGGAGACCTTGTTCTAGCAGTTGGATTTCCTCACCGTTCCACTGTGGTCAGAGCATGGCCTGTTAATGTCTCATATGTTGGGCCCCTTTATAGGCTTTTGTTTAAAGAAAGGATCCTACTGCTGAAAAAAAAAATTTGAGAACCACCAATTTACATTCTTGTGGTTGAGTTTCTAAAATTATTTCTTGAGCTGAAATACTTAGAAACTCAGTGGGATCAAATTCTCTAGGCTCATCCTGCATGTTTGCTGTTCCAGTCCTGGAGTCAGCCATTTCTCCAGGGAGCCCTGAGCACACATGAACTTTTAATCACTTCATGTAGTTCTGAAGCTAACAAGCCGTTGGCATCTACTATTGTGTATTTATAAATTAATTTAGTTTCTTCCACTTGTGGCCATGCATGAGTAACGTAAGGGAACTTGTACTCCTGCCATGAACCACTGGATAAAATGTAGGAAACAACAGTTTTCAGACATGGGGACAATAGGTGGAGCAGAACTTTGACCTCCAAGAGAAGGAACAACAATGGTGTGCCACCCTGGCTCCTGTCCGGAGGCAGTAGGAGTTCCAAGCAGCACAGGATGATGTGGCCACGTTGAGGGGATGGAGACTGGGTTTCTGGAAGGCTGAGGGAGCTGGAATTGGCAAGGTACAGTACTGGAGAGGAGGAAGCCACGGTGAGAAAGAGCTCTGAGGTCTGGGTAGCAGTCCCCTGAAATCTTTGGCTGAATCTGTGCATGCACAGTGTGAGAATCCTCAAGGCCAAGCTGAGAACAACTACAGGCTGGCTGTAAGCTAAACAACTCCCAGAGCTTACGTGGGGCTGATCGGTGTCCCAGTTCCACCCAGACTACAGAGACATCTTTGAACATTTATGACAATGAGTAGAGACCCCAGCATGGGACCCCTGAGTATTTGGGCTACTCCTGACTCTGACTAACAAAGCTAAAAAACAACTCTCCAGAGAATCCTGCTGATCTGTAAGTAAGAACCTGTCTGCCAGAGTAAACTTCAATACCCTTGAAAAGACAATAAAATACACTCAACAAAGAAAATTCACAATGTCCAGCATCTAATAAAAAATTACTGTATCATGTGAAGAAGCAGCCTTAACATGTCAGCCCTGATGCTGTTTATGCTGCTGGGTCACTGCAGGTGGAAGGGTGCGTGCTCCTTCCACACTCCCCAGCTTTGTCGTTCCTATTCCCTGCTAAACCACAGTGGGGGTACATGTGAGCAGATCTTGCTCTTGCTTGTGGTCTGTAATAAAGGTTTATGGATATGTGAGTAAACGAAGCAGAAGAAATAGAAGGAGGGTTTTGGGAAAAGCATTTAATATTTTAATGGTATATTACAGAAGCTACTTAACTGTATAATATTCAAATCCTTTTTCTTCCAAAAAAGTAATGAAAATACATAAACATTGAAAAGATAAACTCACAAAAGCCATGGTTTTGTTCTTTGGTTTGCAGGTTCACATTAACGTATTCATTATAATAGAAGCTATCTAGACAATGGAATATTACTCAGCGCTAAAAAGAAATGAGCAATCAAGCCGTGAAATGACATGGAGGAACCTTAAATGCATATCACTAAGTGACAGAAGCCAGTCTGAAAAGGCTACGTACTGTGTGATTCTATCTATATGACATTCTGGAAAAGACAAAACTATGGAGATAGTAGAAGATCAGAAACCCTTTTGCCAAGGGTTTCCAGGGGAAAGATGAATAGGCAAAGCATAGAGGATTCTTCGGGCAGTGAATACTCTCTATGAGATCATAATGGTGGATACATGTCATTATAAAGTTGTCTAAACCCATAGAACGTACGACACCAAGAGTGAGCCCTGATGTGGGCTGTGGACTCTGGGTGACAGTGATGTGTCCGTGTAATTTATCAACTGTAACAAATGCACCATCTGGTGGGGATGGGATGTCCATAGTGGGGAGGCTGTGCATGTAGCGGCAGGGGACATATGGGAAATCTCTTAATTCCTCTTTAATTTTGTTGTGAACCTAAAACTGCTCTAAAAAAGTAAAGTCTTAATAAAAAAAAAAAGTCGGAGCTATCACGGGTATAGGTTTCATAAAGCCAGAGAGACACCTTTCCTTTGCATGTCTCTCTTCTCTATTCAACCAAGAAAATCTTAATATAAACCCAGCAAGAATGATGACAGTGAATTTGGAATAAGATTAATTACTGTACCTTGTATTTTTATATTTCATATGTTACTAGCCTTTATGCAAATAGTGTCAAATGGAACATGGGGCTTTTGAAACACAGAGCTTTTCACTGACCGACCTGGAGCTCCTGGAGATGGGCATCAACTACTTACCAGGTCACAGGGAGCAAAAAGTGCTTTATGGTACTGTTATCACTGGGCTTACATCAGTTATCTTTAGGGCTTTTAAGTGTGTACGTGATATTCTCAGAGCTCCAACAGTGATAAATTTAAAAAGACAAAACAAACCTTTTTTGTTCTTGGCAAGATTTATGTGGCCCAAACTTTCTGGCAGTGTTGAAGGTTAACCAGTTACGACCATTGAGGACCAGATTATATAATATGGTCATAAAGTTATTGGAATACTGTCTCTATTTTGAGGATTCCCTCTTTGTCATTTGGTTGAGGTAGGAGTAGAGAGATGTGGCAGCTAGCAGACAGACTAGGCGTGGAATCCCCCTCACAATTCAGAGCATCTCAGCCAGACCAGGTCTGTGTCTGGCCAGCTTTTGCTGTGTCTGGTCCCCACATTAACTGCATCCCTGACTTGCAGGGTTTTCTTTAGGTGTGAGTGTTGGGGGCCAAAGTGTTGTGCTTGGGCATAAATTGTGTCAAATGCCGGAAAGCTAATGTTTAATAAGCGCCTCCCAACAATCGTACCCTCGCCATTGGCTCTCCCCAAGAAGGGTCAAGTTTCAGCAGGCGGTGTTCCCTAACTGCCAGGAAGACTCCTTCACTTGCCTCTCTGGCTCTTTCCGGCAGGCAGGGTCTCCGACTTAACTCTCTACCCTCTTTAAGGAGAAGCTGTTGCTGGCCTCTCTTCTCCTGCACCTTTGGGCGAAAAATGCTGGAATATTCAGCAGTGCGAGCCTGCAGGGCTTGTGGAGGAAGAGGGTGGCCAGGGAATTCACACAGCTCTCCCCAAACAGGACCAGCTCAGCAAGGTTCATGAGGAGCTCGTCCCTGGGTGAGCCAATGTCCCTCTGCAGCTTCAGCCTGGCCCGCTGGAGGAGCGCGATGTTGTAGAGGAGCCGGCAGACAAACGTGGTCAGGGCGACGGCCAGAACTACTAGGTGAGCAGAGGCCGCGTCCCTCTGGGGAGGAGCTGCCCGCCAAGCCAGCTGGACAATGAGCAGGATAAAGAATGCCAGCTTCAGGATGAGGGCAAACCCAAAGCCCAGGCTGACCTTGACGGTTTCATACTCGGGCCAGGCAGTCAGCGGGTCCACCTGGCACAGAGTGGTTTCGTACAGCTTCCCGGATGTGCCCAGCAGGGCCACCACTCCCAGGGAGCTGCAGAAGGCACAGCCCCCAATGGCAGCCAGGCCCACCGCGGGCCTCTGGGCCCAGCTGGTGGCTGTGTGCAGACAGGAGGAGGAGCCCTGCAGCAGGAACACAAAGAGCATGGCCAGCTGCACGTACTGAGCGTTGAAGTAGCAGATGTTGGACAGAAAGGAGAGGATGGCACAGCTCAGGTTGGTTGTGGCCAGGTAGTCGGGCCGGCTGATGGCGGTGAGTGAGAGCAGGGTCACCAGCACGTTGGTGATGGTGAGATCTGAGAGAAACATGTCCAGGCCGCCCAGTCTGGCACGGCCCCGTATGAAGGTGGTCAGGTTGAAGAGCCCAGTCGCCAAGCTCACTGGGACAAACAGAGCCACGTAGACGTGCACGCACCTGGAGATGATGCTCTGTGAAGCTATGACGTCTTCCACGGCCGTGGAGACGTGACTTGGGTACTGTATCCAGGACATGTTGTGGGAGCTCATCTCGGGCAGCGGCCAGTCTGTAAGAGAAGCGCACCCCGCAACGTTATGTGGGGTCACTCATCGGGGGAGCCAGCTCTTTCAAAGAGCACAGAGGGGCCTGCCCTGGTGGGAGGGGAGCAGCGTTTCCCAGAGCCTGTGCCCCTAAGAGAGCGATGCTCTGGGAGCTCGTTAAAATGGAAGATTTCTGCACCCAAACTTGAGTCCCACCAAGAGTGGATGGTCACAGGAATTGGTGTTGACATCCAGTTTCCCTGTCTGGTGGATTCTGGGGCAATCTCAAGTTGGGTCCCACTGGAGCAAGGGGCCCACGTACCTGTGAGATTGGGGGAGGTGCAAGGACATCGCCTCAGCCTCCCCTCGCCCCACACCAAAATGAACCTTATCTCTCCTAAAGGAAACGCATCCTCTGAGCGTGTCACATCTAAGTCCCACTCTCTGAGGCGTGTGCACCAGAGGCCTTGATCTCCCCAAAGAGGAGTTCAGTGAAGGATTTCCAGGGGCTGGAGTTCTGGATGTTGAGCCTGTCCAGTGCATCCTGCTTATTTCTGTTGGGGCCTCTGCCCTCGTGGAGGGAACGCCAGAACCACAACGCTTGGAAGCAGGGCAGTCGAGTTGACACGTGTCCTCCGACTTTTGGACCCAGAGAAGTTCTGACCGATTCTGGCCTCTGTGACGGGACTCTGCTCTTAAAGTAGACTCTAGGGACTGAAGCGGTGGATGCCTTGGGTGCTGGCCCCCGGGATGGTGGTGCCTCCTGGCCTCTCAGCCGGGCATGTTTTATTGCGGCTGAGCCCTAATGTCCTTCAGTCAGGGCTTTAAATAACAGCGCTGACAGACTCAGAGCCCTCCTAACCGAGTTTCTGTCACGGAAATAATTTCATTTCCATATAAATACCCCTTCCCTCTAAATTTTAACTAAATAGCAGATGAGGCTGGGAGATAGCATTGCTGTTTATTCAAAGGAAATTGAAGGCAATAAAATTGGAAACTTAATTTTCATGGAATGCTCAAAAGTGGGCCTGGCTCTTCAGCCAGTTTTCATTTTCTCTGAGGGGGCAGCCATAGGTCCTGCAGAGCCGCCGGTCTGTGATGGGGCACAGGAGTCCCTCCACTGTGAGGCCACGTGTGGGCTGGAGCACGTCCTTGCTTGGGCCAGGCTGGCAGAGTCACTCAGAAGTAGAGAGTGAAGTGAATGGCCTTTCTTTCCAACATACAACAGCTGGAATAGTTGGCCCTGTGTCCCAGACTTTTGCAGACTTGGCATTTGGAAATGTGTTCATTATACACACAGGTTGTCTAGTCCGTGGAATCTTTGCGTACCTGGATCTGTTGTTGGCTTTTCTCACTATGTCACGGATACCTTTCGGTGCCTGTACATATTACATATACACACCATTCTCCTTTGTCTGACACCCACCATACACTGTGATGCACCCTCTATAACTGTTGGTTAATATGTATTTGCCTCAGTGTGCTTACTTTGGTGCATCAACGGCTCTACCTCGTACTAACCCTGCTCTCCCTCCCACAGGCCTGCAGAGGTGATGGGGACCCACTGCTTCTCCAGGTACGTGTCTGGCTTTCTTGGTTCGAGAGAGACACAGTGAGTGACATGGAAATTAAGAATAGTGACCAGACTGAGAGGAAGTGATTTGGAATGTTTTTTTAATTAAGGCAAATTGGAAAGAAGATCTTGTGAACATTGACCACAGGTCAGAAAAAAGCATTACGCTCTCCTGATGTCCAGTCTCTGCAGCTGGCCAGTGTTTCAGGCACTTCCTGAGGCGTCCAGTGTCCCTGCTGGTGGTGTTTGGGGCGTTTGTGGTCAGAGGCCACCTGACCCTGACCCAGATCCTTATCTGATTTGGTGACCAGGCTCTGGGTCAGCCAACCGGGTGGAAGGAGAGCGTGTGTCTGGCCCTGGCCCTGAGGGCACATCCTGGGCTCCTTGCTGGCTGGGAAGCTTGTTGAGGCTGCTTGCCTCATTGTGTGCTTTTCTGGAGAGGGAAGGGGCCCTCCTCGGGGCCAAGGGGCTCTGGCTTTACCTCCTCTCTTCCCCGTGGGGTGAGTTGTCTGCTGAGAGGCCGTGCAGCTCTGAGTCCACAGACAGGCGTTGCTCTGGTGTCGACACGTGCTTGTTGTATGCAGGCTACCTGAACTCTCGGGTCTCAGCCTCCCCTTCTGTACGACAGGCACCACCCAACCGCTTCCCACGCCTGGGAACGTTCAAGGAGAGGAAGGCCACACAGAAACCCTCAAAATCTGGGACACAGATTGTGTCCCAGCAGCACGCAAAGCCAGCGCCTATGTTGGCGTGTCTCTGCTGCGCCAAGCCCTGCTCCAGTCTCTTGGGTAGTTAACTGAGGTTTTGAGCTCTGATCCTTTTGCCCCCAGGCTGTGAGCAAGGGGTAGAATTGGCCTCAAATACTGTGCAAACTCACACAGGTTCCCCTTCCTCCACCATCCTTTGCCTTCAGAATCGGGCCAGGAACGAGGTGTCCCGGCAGGTGAGAGATGACATGCTCCTCAATCCCTGGTCTTGGCGAGACCAGTCTGGTGAAGAGTTGGTGGGCTCGCTCGTCTGCCCCCTCTGAGTCTGAGGGGCACTGAGCCCTCCTCCAGCAGAGTGCCTGGGCACACACCCCGTCTTACTGGGCCTCACTCAGCCCACGCCCCCTTGTCTCACAGTCAGAACGGCTGAGCCCTCCTAGGAGCAAAGAGGACTCCGGGGGCTGGATTTGGTCAGCCATTGCGTCTGCTGTGCTGGACTACCTCTCTCCTCACCACCTCTCGTGGGTTTTATTTGGAAAGATAAAATAACAAAACATGGAAGACATTTTCTCCTGCAGTTGTCCACGATTCTAGCTCTTCTCCCAACTTCCCGGCTCCCTTATATCCTGAGCTCCTCTTTCGTCTTGACAGTCTCCCCCCCACCCCCCCAAAGAGAGCGGGCCAGTGCACAGAGAAGGGATGGAGATGACAGGCTCTCAGTGGTCAGGGCCTCGGCTGACAGATTGTCCCCATGTACTCAGGTTCACCAGGTGCCGATGCTGTTCAGAGCACTTTCCACGTAATAATTTACTCCAGCCTTACACTTTCCACAAGAGGCAGGAACAGTTATCATCCCACTTTACACCCGAGGTGACCACATCACAGAGGAAGTCATTTGCTCAGTCACACAACTGTTAATGATGGCATCAAGATCTGAACCTAGGCAGTTTGGCCCGAGAACCTGTACGTTTTTAAAAATTTACACGCAGTGGAGTTTACTGTTTTTGGCACATATTACAGATGCCTCTGATCATGTGAACACCGTCACGCGTGGGGTACAAAACGGTTCCTTCGCCCCCAAACTCCTTCGTGCCAGTCCTTGGTGGTCAGCCCCTCCCTTCACCCCAGCCCCTCAACCACTGGTCTGCTCTGTATTTTGACTCTCCCAGAATGTCCTGTGAGTGGCGTCCAGATGCGCAGCACCTTTGGAGTCTGGGCGTTTCTCAGCCTGATGCATTGAGACTCACCGTGATGTGCATGGTCAGGTCGTCCCTCTTATGCTGGCAGAACCCGACTGTGGATGCTCCATGTTGTCTGTCTGTTCGCCTTCTGAGGGACGTTGGCTTATCTCCAGATTGTGGCTATTGTGAGTGAAGCTGCTCTAAACGCTTGCATACAGGTTTTTGTGTAAGCATAAATTTTCCTCCTTCTTGGGTGAATACCTAAGAGTAGGCTTGCTGGTTCCTCGTCAGAGTATGCTTAACTGTGTGGAGCTGCCAGTGTTTTCCTGTGCGGCCGTGCCACTGTGCATTCCCGCCAGAACCTGCACAGTTGACACCGTGCTGTGCGCCCTAGCAGAGGACGCTCGGAATTCCCTGGGAAGATGGACCGACCCTCCAAGGCAGACCCCCTCGCTTATTCTAGTGGCCAATTTCAGGCCAAGATGCGGACCCTTTCCTGAGCCACACAAAGGGCTGCCAAGGTCCTGCTCTGGGGTCCCCTGGGAGCTCCCCAAGGCCAGAGCTTGAGAATGCTGTGCTCTTTACAGCAGCTCTTGGCTGTAGCTCCTTAAATAGTCTTTCAGAAGAGTTCTAGGAAGCATGGGCCCCACCTCACCCAGGACTGCTTCCCCAGAGTTAGAGGGTGGCCCATCTCAACGAGGGCCGGGGGGAGGGTCAGTGTGGGAAGTGCTGGCTCCTCCCTCCTCTGAGGGCCCCCATTCCTCCCCAGGGGGCTCTGGGTGGTCCTCCTGGCCTTTGGGTCCCTCCCTGGGCAGCTGCCCCCCTTGTCACTGATTACTTCCTGTTACAGACGTGTTTTCACATAGTCGAGAGTTTATATCCATGAGAGTTCTGCTAATTCCACTTAGCCCTTGGTTATTGACTGTTTTCCATGCTTCTGCCTGGTTTTATTGTCATCTTAATGGATGAGTAATCACCATAGAACAGTGACAATAATTTGCTAACCATCCCCCATGGTGGATGTTTAAGTTGTTTGTGAATTTTTGCTATCAGGGGTCCTTTCCAATCCTGTGCCTGTCCCCAGAAAGGCTCACAAGTTCTTTTTCTGTACAAAAAGAGCATAAACCTTTGAAGTCAAGGTTCTCCTAGGTGATTCTGTGTGTCCTCAGCTTGCCTACGCGGGCGCATTGTCACCTTCACGCCCTGTGGATCTGTTGGTCTCAGATTCAGATCTTTTGGGAATTGTCGTTCTAGGCTCCATCATCTAAAGGTCATCAGCAGACAGCTCTGGCTGTGGTTGTTTCTTCACCACCAACTCATAGTATGAAAGGCAGGTGAGGATGTGGTGATTGCATTAGACACTCTGTGTTAACCTGGTGGCGGGAAAGTGGGCCGGAGCTGAGTTTCAGGACAAGCACCCCACACAGGGCACATAAACCGCCTTCTGTGGGAGGCCCTCGAGAGGTTCCTCCCTGCTCTGTTCCTGGGCACGAACGCATTTTCCCGCTTGGCCAGCTCCTCCCTCCCTCGAGCCCTCTGGCAGGACTCGCCTTTTTTAGTGCCTTCTGGTCTTGGCTGTGTAAATGTCTCCATTCCAGTT